AGGGGGGGGGGGGGGCGGGAGTTACTTATATATATGTATATATTGCAAGGAAGTAGAAAAGCCAATTCTAGGATCTCCTCGTATGTCTACCCCGCTTATAACCTTATATTAAATCTCATCTAGACTTGTCTTATTCCTTACTCTGTAACTTCCCAGAACCGGTAGGCAAAACTGTAACAGATTTGATTCAGTGAATTCGAGGCTTGGTGTCGGGTAAATTTCGGAAACCAGGGCACTGTAGATAGTTAAGTAGCACTTCTGCTTGGAGAACTCTTCTCTCCTTGCAGACAATCTAATCATACACCCTGACAAAAACGTCAAAACTAGGTTTAGCCATACTAGCAGTACTCTCGCTAATCATACTTGCTGGTAGGATTCTACTGGTCAAACTTCATTAGAAAGCTCTGCCTACCGGTTTTCGGGGAGTTGCGAAGCGAAGGAGAGTTATACTTTAGTACCGTAAAAACTTCAACTCAAGGTGTTGCCGAGCTTCGGATTATGGGAATGGCAAACTTTCCTCGAAGTAAAGAGGGCGGACGCATGGAACAATCCACCTCGAATACGGGACGAATATAGGTGGATACCATCCACTAGGTTTTGATAGATTTATACAACCTTTGTGCTAACACTAGGAAGTTTCTAGCGTTTTGTGCATAAAAATTGCCTAAACACAGTAGAAATAAGCAATGGTATCTACGTATTTCGAGAGCGCCAAGTTATGTCCATAGTCCTATATATGATCGATATTCAATAAGTCTTTTGCATATAAATTAGCGGTTCTGAGATATTGAGTCCATTATTGCGTTCTGCTGCAAATCCTTGGCGTAGGGTAGGCGTCAACGTACCGAGTCAAATTAAGGCCATTGACTAGTCCAACTGAAGCCACTGGGGCATAACCAGGAGGTGAGCTTGGACAGAGTTCAAAACTGGACATCAGACTGAGGTTGCTCCGCCCTCATTTATCTTAATATGACCGCTTGACCTCGCGGTTACCTATAGGTAGACCCAATGCCAAGACAAGAGAAAACGCACAAGGCTCAAGATCTGTGCTATTTCCATTGAGATCAGGAAACCCAATTCTGCAAAGGCACCTTCTTAATCTTCTTCGCTAGGATATCCATCTTCGTAAAAACTAAGAGAATTTCCGTTACTAAAATCTTACGACTTTAGTATATAGCCCCTTTCTGAGTATCTTTCATATTACTGGAATCGGGAGGTATATCTTTAGTGGAAACTAAATCTAGGGGAGGTTTAAGGGAATCCTTGATTAAATAAGGTGTTTCGGTTTAGAACTTCTTGTATATAATGGCTAGTATATATTAGCGAGGTAGAAGATAATTTATAGAGCTACTACTCCTACCCTACCTCAAATCCCGCTTATATAGTAGAGTTTATCGTCTAATTCCAGGCTCCTCAGAGCGTTTGCAACCTATATCTTTAACCATTTGTACGCGATAAATATTAAAGAGATTAAATTAAATGACTTTGCTTGAGCGAAGCGAGAGTATTTCTAGTGATAAAACTAAATATATTAAATAGATTTAGTAGAACTAGGAAAATAATAAAGTCTATTTAGTAAATGCTTGAATTAATATTACTATTTAGCTTATAAAATAATTTTAGATATGTTAATTTGTCCGTGTAAGGAAATGTCACGAATCACGTTCTCACGTGATACTTGTCATAATAAAGAGGCGCAACCCTCGACAGGCACATCCAGGTTTCTTACAGCAAATAGGGACGCTTAGACTAGCTAAGCGATCCAGGGATTTCCTTCGTATCTTATCACGTGACTAGTTGGACCGACTGGACTGACGATCGGTCTGAACTTCTGGAACGACAGGACCGACCAGCGGTCCTGGCAAAGTACAGGAAAGTGAAGGGTCTATATAAGACTGGCACGTCTGCCATTAGATAGGAGCTTCGTGCTCAACTTAGTTATCAATCTTATCATATTAGTTTGACATCTTTGATACAAGTAACGAGTTCACTTCCAAGTGAACAACCCGATAGTCTTCTTCTTATCATAGAATACCAACCAGCGAACACCCAGCCAAGTTTAGTTAGCCAGTTTGAGTATTCGTTACAGTAACCTACGATATCTATAGTATACGACCTAAGGTAGGAGCCTCCTCCTCCTCCTTTATAAAGTTTATAAAAGAAGGTCTCTTAGTAGTAGTAGTAGAAGAGGTTATTTAGTAGTAGAAGAGGTTATTTAGTAGTAGAAGAGGTTATTTAGTAGTAGAAGAGGTTATTTAGTAGTAGAAGAGGTTTATATAAAGGGAGGGAGAGGTAGAGTTAAAGGAGCGTTCGAGTTAAATTCTAGGGTAAGAGTATTTAAGTTAAATTCGAAAGAAGGAGCGTTATAGATAAATTTAAGGGTAGAAGTATTTAAGTTAAATTTAAGCTTATTTACTTATATCGAGTACTTTTACCTTTAATTCTAGCACTGTTATATAACCCTAACCCTAAGCTAGTTTATAATTTGCGAATTACAATTTTATACTAAATAGGATTAAAATTTAAGATTTACGATTTACGAATTAGTATTAAGTCTATTCGGCCTTTTAGTACATTCAGGATGTGTGACGGTTATGGTCACGAGGGCTGGATGTCACATGCTCGCTTAGCGAGGCGCTAGCGCGCACGACCTGTATTTAGTTCCCAGCTCTCTCGAGCTCTCCTTCTTTCCTCGTCTTTTGTCCTAAGAATAGAGTGTTAATTGTTCTGAGTTCTACCTGAAGCACGTCTGTCACAGGATGCCGTAATTATTGAGTCTCGCAGAATTGGAACAATTTATTTTTCATGTGGATTATGTCGCAGTCTTATATCAAATTACCTTGACCGAATCTTGGTTCCTGATTAGAGCTGTTTTGTTCGCTGCCTTTCGCTCAAATTAAGCGAACTTTCAGCACCCACCTCACCCCTCTCTGAAACTTTCTCATTCATTCGCACAGTACACCAAGACTAATTACTTAGGCACAGCACTTGTCCAATATAACCATAGTCTCTCTCCAAAACCCTGATAGCTCTCTCCTTTCCTCCTCAGTCCTATCTCGTGCATTGATCGATAGGCATTTCCTCACAACATTGGCGTATATTGAGCCTGTTAGTCTGCTTTGGATTAGCCTAGATTGCCTTCCACAATCACCTAAATGGAATGAAGAGAGACCAAGAGGTAGGAGTGTTGGAACGAAAATCAAAGAAAACTCACCCATCAAGTCTTCCACACAAACCTAAAAACTCCTGCCTAATCCTCTCAAATGCTCCATTCTCGTATTCCTCCTCCTCTTCAAACAGCAGTCTCAGGTCAACAACACTATCCAAATTTTTCCATAAGCCAATTTCCAACAATAACACACCGAGGCTGTATATATCATAGCCTCTCGAATGTGGATGACGCGGATTAGATGCTTTATGCGGGTGGAGATAGTAATTTATGCTTATGTCGTATGAAGGAGCTTGGTCATAATGAGGAAGAGGGTGAATCAATTGGACCTGGTGATCAACGTGTATGGGCGGCGCATGACTGGCGAGGGTGAGTTGCTCCCCTCCCCCGTGGTAATCGTAGATAGCGCTAGGCTCTTGGAGAATATCGAGCTGTGGAGAGAACAGGCCGGTGAAGAGGGGCTCGGCGTAATCTAGAGGATGGGACAAAGTTGTCGATAAACCGGAATGACCTCCAGAGGAAGGCTTTTTTTTTGAGGGGAAGAAAAGGAGTGTATTTGCGCGAATATTTCTGTATTATGTTAGGGCTGGTTCAAGTGATCAGAAGGAAGAAACTCGCTTATGAATCCACTAAAAAAGGAGTGTCAGTTCAAGTGCGCCAGGTTTTTAATCCAAAATATATGTCTTGAGCCCCCTTCATGGAGGTCGCCAAAAGATCCACGAAAAGGGAGACGCCGAAAAAGAAATAAAGGCCAAGACTCACTCCGACACAACCCATCCCCCAAACACTCCCTACAACCCTCCTAGCCAACCCAAATCTCGTCCCCAACTCTAATATTCCCACACAAGCAGGATGTCTCCTACTCATCACCTCTCTCAAACTAGCAGGCATTCTCTTCTTCGAAATGGCACCTGCAGTGAGAATACTCGGGAGGCCAGATCTGATATGCGGCGGAGGTGCGAGCACCAATCCAAAGCGTCTGGAATAAGGATCCTCCAACATTCCATAGCAAGTTGGTAACAACAATTGGCCTGGCTTGGGCGTAGCAAGCATGAGAGTTTTGATCCTTGTTTCCCTTTCGGTATCCTGTAATGAGGGGGAAGGAGGCAGCCATTCAATAAGCACGACGCGGTTTTCCTTTTTCACTGGATAATCAAACAGGAGAGCCATGGTAGAGCTCAAATTGGACGGCAAAATATAAGTCTCGTCCATTCTAAAATCTCTCATCGAGAATTTGAAAGCTGCATGTGGCCGTTCAAATTTCACCACGCTACTAAACTGAGCTGCAAGCGAGAGATCGCGATATCGAGCCTTTTCATCTCCATCTTCGTGCTTTGATTCGTAAGATGCAGCTTCAGCCAATCGTCGAAGTTCATGGAGATTCAACTCTTTGACTAACTCTAATTCGCCCTTCCGAAGTTTGGAAAGCGAGGGGGATGGGCCATAAGTGATTAAGACAGAGATGTGCTCTTTGAGGTGAGCAATCAATGTGTGAAAGAGTGTGTCTTTCTTGAAGAGGGTGAAATGGGTTCGTTGGAAGAAGTTGAGGTTAAGACGGCAGCGTTCAAGGAAAATGCCGGTTGTTTCAATGTTCAATTCTTGGCCGGATTTGAGGCGAAATTGAGAAAGGTCTTTGGAGTCCTGTATGAAGTGAAGTAGTTAGCAGTAGGGAAAGAGGCATGTTGAAGTAATGAATACTCAATGAAATCTTGAACGCTTTTCAACCAGTAGCACTCTTTCGAGTGAGAGGTAGTAAGAGGTGGTAGAATCGTTACGGCGGCTTTCCCTACGATTAATTCGCGGAATAGAGAAAACACAACTTGAGATCTATATGCCAGCACAAACTCTGTAACAGAAGAGCGTTCTTTTCATTACGAGTAGCTCTATTCTTTGTCCAATGTTAATGGTAGGAAAATGTTAACTTACTCGATTCGCTCTCTCCGACTTAATACCATAATATTCCTCCAAGCCTGTGGCATCAAACAAGACCTGCGCCAACAAAGCTAACTGGCGTAAAACCTTCTTTGCAGAAACAGGATTACTCTTTGCATAAGCTTCAAACTTCATATCCACATCACCACATTCACTCGTCCAGATCTCGCGCCATTCGTCAAACTTCTGGAAAAGGTCATCACGTGAGTAAATATTTTCAATCGTCCCGCAGGTGTATTCAAGTTTGCAGCTATTTAGAATGAAATAGATGGTTTACATCTCGTTGAAGTTCCAATCTCCCGACCGGAAGTTGAAACGTTTTCGGGGTATCGAAGACGTCTATGAGCACCCCTAGTCCATCTGGTGATACCTCAGTGACAAATCCCACTTTTTAGAAACATAGATAGTGGAAGAAACTCACCATGGCACAGGGGAAATAGACCCAAAACGCCACTGACGATACCGTAAATCTCTGCCATCTCCAGGAAAGAATATTGGGAATTTTTATCAATGCATGTTCAGAATGATGTCTTGGTGATTCGGGAATATTGGGTATCCATTTTTCCCCAGCTGTAGGCAACGGTGTTTCACGTGCGTCCAATGATGTGCGGAGGCGTGGCATACAGATGCATGTGCAGATGTGAGATGATTCTGCCACTGGACTTTCCACGTGTAATAGTTTACTCAAGCGGTTCATTTCTTCTGCCGAACGAACAAAAATATTTTCATCGCTCAAATAAGAAATTGCCAGTCCCATTTCGTGCAATAACACAACTTAAAGGGACAACTCGCTTAAATCCTCATTATTGACGGAAGGATGCTATAGAGACTCGGAGATAGGAAGTCGGACATGCAGATTGACCGTTAATGAGGATGGTTGACCTCTTCCCTCCTCGACAAGCTAATTTATTTCGAAAGGACCCATCCTGAGGATCCGGTATTACGTGGGATAAATAGGAACCTGTGAGTCGAGGGCATCAAAAGGATTATCGACAGATTGAAAGACGGGACGAATTTGGAAGAGTCGCATTGGGTATGTCTGACGTCAACAATCGAAATGGTCCGCAGAATCAGAGTACAAGGAAAGAGACATGGCAAGGAGAAGTTGACAAGACACAAATTCCTGGGCCTTGCCAGAACACCAAACTTGAACTCAATATGCTCAGTAAAGATGGGGCAAAACTAGAAATAACCCGGTGCACGATCAGGCTGGATAATGCATCCAGCACTCCGAGAAGTAAAACCTTCCCATCCCCTCTTCTGCTTATCCTAGGATAGTATGTTAAACCTCTTGGGCTAAACAAGATTTGGGACATTCGAATTATGTTCAACCTCTCAATTTTGAGTGTAGGAAATGGCTCATGAACCTTTGTCATTGTTTATTACGCATTCATCCATCATAAACACTGTGACACACCGCCACTGCCTCATCTACCCGACTTGGAAGATAGGTGGATATTTGGCGGCGACGCAGTCAATTAGAAGGATTGTATTGAGTTCGTTCTATATATAGTCTTGATGAGCAGTAGCATCACAAAATCATTCGGTGAGACTGGTACGAATGAAAGATCAGGCTGAATCCGATTTCTGCAGGCCACATCGGCTTACCTGATATCCCCGATACCACTAAATCTCAATATCTTACCGTTTCATTTCAATTTTTGAAGTGATATTCATCTTTGAAGCTTCACATAATGATTTTGTAAGACAAGCATAGAACCCGTCTCCATCATCGGACTCGTCGGCTCTATCGCTGGAATCAGCAATATTATAGGAAAAGCTTCGGGTCGTCTCATCAAACTTCAATCAAAATTCAGCGACTCTAGTGTTACGATCAGTCTTTTGATTGGACAGTTGACCATCGTCAAAGCTGCGTTGGATCAAATCAGCCCCCTGTTGAAGTCAAACTATGCGAAGAAACCTCAACACGAGCAGCTAGTTTTAGATCTCCAGATATATTTGGATGGCTGCAAGCTCTTGATTCAGGTCATCGAGGAGCGGATCATACACCTCAGCCGAGATGAAAGTGGGAAAGAGTTGAACCTCAAAGGGAAAATAGAATTTCTGTGGATGGAATCGGAACTGAATGGTTTTACCACTCTGCTGAATAACCAAACCACTGCATTGAATCTTCTTGTTTCAGTGCTACATTGGTAGTTACTATTCTTCCATTTTATTCAAGTGGTACTAACAAAACGATAGTCGAACCGCAATTGAACGTAACTCACTTCTGGGGAAAGATGGAAGTCGTCGTGTCATTGAGCGGGTTAGAATTAGCCAAATTTCTCTGCTTTCCTTCAGAGATTCGCAGTCTTTTCTCTTGAATTCGGAAAATTCGGATCTATCGGATACGGATTTCGACTTTGATGATGAGGTTGTTACGACAGCTGTATATCGAGCAGCTCTGAGGTCCAATATAAAGACTGCTTTGATAAACGGTCGTCAGCCATACTCGAAGGTTAATCCGCCAATTTCCATTAATGTGGAACATCGATCCGAGAAAGTATCGTCATTCGAATACAGCGCAACGAACAAGAACTCCCGAATCTTTCATGGAGAGCAGGTTGTATCGAAGGCCGTAACGTGCACTACTCCACCACCGACTATCGGCTTGGCTATCAACAAAAAAGAAGGAGATGGCATTGAAGAAGCAAACATCTCCAATTCGCAATCTAGTTATTTCAGCAATGACACGAATAAGAGAAACTCGGTACGAAAAATAATTGTAAGAAACATAACCAGCCACCGTTCAAGTTTACAGCTTGGTCCCACGAACCCTCTCGGAACAACAAGCATATCTTCCGACATCTTCCAATACCGAGGGAGTGTCTCTAACCAGAACCTCATGAACCGCTATATTGAGCCGCTACATCCTTTGACCAGTTCCCGTTTCAACATCGCTTTGTTTGGAAGCAGTGATAGCGGCAAGTCCACTATTTTCAACTCAATCAGGGCGTTGTCTAGTGGAGGCTGGGATACGAACGAACGTATGCGTTGGAAAGATAAAGTTCTCCGTAACATCATTGAGAGAGTGGCTGGTATTCTAGATACTCTTGGAGAATTGCGGATAACACTATCCTTCGTTCAAACACTGCTAAGAAGCTTCATAACGGTCAAAAACGCCCACAATGATTTGGAAAGTATGTTGACTCAAAAGGACTTTTTCAGGAACGTATTTGAGGCTGTGTACTTTCTCTGGTCACAAACCGCAGTCCGAGAAGTATTTGAAGCAGAGTATCAATTCGATGACGGCGCTTCGTAGTAAGTTTTGATCGGATGATTTGGGGCTCGGCTAAATTCTTATTTTGAAAAGTGTCTTCAGCTCTGCAAAACGATTCGGCGACCCCAACGATGTTCCTAGCAACGAAGACATCTTTATCACTCGTCTGCACCCTGTTGGCGTTTACACTATACCACTATCAGCCGCATCTCTGGAATTCAGGTTGACAGACGCCGGCTGCGGGAAAAAAGAAACCGGTGAATTAAAACAGATGTTCCGGGGTATAAAAATCATTGTTCTAGTTGTTGATATTTCCGCGGACGGCAGTCCCTTCTGGTACGAGAGTCTGCTGAACTTTGAAGCTCTTACTGCGATGACGTCCGATGAATTAAGGTGCGCAAAGATCCTTTTAGTATTCACGAAATTGGAAATACTAGAGAAGAAGATTCGGAAGATCCCATTTCAGACTTGGCATCCTGAGTTTCGAGGCAATGGCAGTGATATTGAGGCCGTGAAGGAGTTTATCGCTCAGCTTTTTATTAGCTTAAATAAGGGCCAACGACGGAGTATTACGACATTATTCACAAGCATATATTGAAAAGACGGATTAGCTGACGTAGGGATGATTGTTTTGAGAAAAGTCAGAGAGATTGAGGAAGGTCTGGTAGGAAGTTGAAGTCAGGGACCCGAATGGGCCGGATCTCTTTTGAAATATTTTCAGCATGAAAACAATCGCCGTTACTTTGATCAGGACTACGACTATTACCCGTAGTAGCTTCTCAAAAAGACGCAGATGGTAGTAGAACTTTCTACAAAGATCTCAACTACCACTTTTTCTAGAAACCATAGCTGCATAGCTTGTTGGAGAAAGAATAAGAGGCTTACATACTACTTGCTAAAAAAGGTCTGCTTTCCTCAATCTGGTTTGATGGACTGATTCGATAAGACTTGCCTCCCACCTTCAAGACTTCTCTATTCACAGGTTATAAGTTCTTGAATATGCCATGAGATTATGAAAATAACATAGGAACGAAAAGATATCATCACAGGTCACGTGTCGTGATGAAAATCTCAAGTAATGAGAAAAAAATCGAAAAGTGGGGAGTTTTTACGGACTTCTCCTACCTCATAAAACCAAAGATTGCGTGCTCCGATGGCGGTCAAAAAGATCCATAACTAGATGGGGTCAGAAGATTAAAAATCAATCGATATAAAGAGAGGTAAGTACGAAGGTAAGCATTCCCCTTTCTTTGCCACGCTTTTCCGAGTCGATCACCAAACTCAAGCTTTCCTTGGCGAATTCTTCATCATGACGAAGTCGCTTGATGAGGCCTCAGTTGTTCAAGATATCACCTCGAAACACTCAATTGAGAAGAAAAATGAAGAGGTTCTCCAGGGAGCATCTGGAGATCTGGATGCGGTGTACGGGGTTGGTGGTGTGGGACGAACGGCTAGAAGGTTGAAGGCTAGGCATGTTACTTTTATTGGTTTTGGAGGGGGGATTGGGACGGGTTTGTTTATTGGAACTGGCGCTGCTTTGGCGAAAGCTGGACCTTTGGGGTTGTTATTGTGAGTTACAGGTCTTGAAATTCGACATTCTTGCATTGTCACTGATGATGACAGGGCTTTTCTGATCGTTGGTGGTATCCTGTGGTGTGTGATGGAGTCTGTTGGGGAACTTGCAACTTTGTTCCCCACCGCTGGATCGTTCCCCCACTTTGCTACGCGTTTCGTCGATCCAGCTCTGGGTTTTACTTTGGCTATATCGTATGGCTATTGTTACACGATTGCAATTGCTTCGGAGGTCTCTGCAGCAGCGATCATAGTTGTGAGTATTGCAAGTCGAAAGTAAGGGGTCTTTTCGCTAATCACGCGTCTAGTCGTATTGGACGGACATCACCCCCGCTCTTGTGATATCACTTGGTCTGGCAGCAATTTTCTGCATCAATGTTATGAATGTCAGATTCTATGGTGAGGCAGAAGTTATTACGGCTTCTATCAAAGTTATCTGCTTTTTGGGTCTAATATTTGTTTCCCTGGTCATCACTCTGGGAGGAGCACCGAGTAAGGATCGAATTGGATTCAGATATTGGAAGAATCCAGGTCCTTTTACTGACTACAATGGCATCACTGGATCGACTGGTCATTTTTTGGCATTTCTTAGTGCTTTCATCAACGCATCTTTCTCCTTCATAGGAGTGGAAACAGTTGTTGTAACGGCAGCAGAAACCGTGAATCCACACAAATCTATCCCAAAAGCCATCCATCGAGTCACCTATCGGATTATGTTTTTTTACATTCTCGGAGCTCTACTCATTGGGATGATTATCCCCTCCAACGCTCCAGGACTCGTTAGTGGCTCAGGAAACGCAAACTCTTCCCCTTTCGTCATCGCTATCAAGAATAGCGGTATCAAGGTTCTTCCCTCGATCGTCAACGCCTGTATTCTCACTTCAGCCTGGTCAGCCGGAAACAGCTATTGTTATGTTGGTGCCAGAATGATCGTTGCAATGGCTGTGGACCGCCAAGCACCACAATTCTTCGCCAAAGTAAACCGATATGGCGTTCCTTACTACGCAGTAATCACATCTTTTGCTTTCGGTCCGTTGGCTTATCTCTCACTCGGAAAAGGAGGACCAGCACAAACTTTCAGATGGCTTCTTACATTAAGCACCGTAGCTGGTCTTCTGGCATGGATGACACTTTGCGTCTGCTGGATTCGCTTCAACTCCGCCCTTCGAGCTCAGGGACTTTCCAGGGATTCTCTTCCGATGAAAGGGAGGTTTCAACCATATGCAGCTTGGTTGGGGGCTATTGGTTCCGGATTTATCGTTCTCATTTCTGGGTTTAGTGTATTCCTCAAGGGAAAGTGGTCGGCGGCGGATTTCATCGCTAGTTATATTGGGATCGTGATTTACATTGTTCCGTTTTTGGCGTGGAAGTTGCTCAAGGGGACGAAGTTTGCGAGAAGTGCGACGACGGATTTGTTTTCAGGGAGATTTGATCCTGAGAGTGTTCCCGAGGAGCCGGAACCCACGGGTTGGTGGGGTAAATTTGTGGATTGGTTGTTGTAAGATGAAAAGGTTTGTGTGTATTATTTTGGTATATAGAATTATTCTTGTAAGAACTGGAGGATATGTATATATTAATAAAAATTAGAATTATGTTAATGACTCTATACTTGTAAGAGAGGTGGGTATTGCTCTGTACACGCTATCAAAAGTTATTCTGTTAAAACTCTAGCACAAGTAACTCAATTGTCCTATTTCGCCTAGTATAATAAGAATTGAAAAGTAACAATTGTTCTAAACTATTCATTCAATTAATTTAGTTGTGTGAGTTCTTTAGAATAATATATTTTTATTAATTAGGTGTTTACAGAGTAATGCACGCCTTTCTTATTTGTCTGACCTCTTATTCACCTCGCTTACCAGGCAATGCCTTGGTATTGCTTCTTCGCTCTCCTAATACCAATCATGACCTTTGGCTTTGAGAGCCCTGTTATTTGCGTTGAAAGAAATTGTTTTTAATGGATTGTAATGTTTGAAAGCAGTGAGTAATATCAGACAATATTGTTCACGATAGTTGAGGGGTGTGATTCCCGCTTAATTATACGTAGAAATATATCTACTGTTTCTGATTTCATTTCTCAAGGTCTTTTTCCAAACACAGACACAATTGAGGGGAGCCAATACGTAAAACAGAGCTCATTTAATCATAATACACTACTACAGAATAAAGGTATGACTGTGGATAGTGAATCCATCAATATTGATATGATGAATAACTTCAAGGACGACGAATATCAATCAATTGCGTCAACGCTGTTATTTAATCTCCCCGCTCCCAATATTTTGTAAAATTGCCACTTTCATTCATCCTTCACAACCTAACTTCCAAGCCTGAAATGCCTTAAAAGATGAACGTAGCCCTAGAAAATGACATGAACCATCAGATGATATTCTGAAACTTCCCAGCTGGATGAAAAGAGCAAGCCTCAGGTGCTACTCAAGACTGTAGATGCCGATGTTGGGGAATAGGGATTAGATAGCTGTGGGTTGTTAGAAAGCAAAAACTATTATTCATAGGAACATCTAAGAAACGAATTCTACTTTTGATGGATATTTGTGATAAAAGCTTGGCTTCACTACTCTGCTTTATCGGTTACTAACACATACTTGTGAGTAAATGATCATATCAGAGCCTATGTAGTGAAGTATCTACCAAAGTACTTCTACCAGTCAATCTACGAATAAACCAAACCAAGGAAATAAGACTCAGCGATAATATCTCTTTGATCACCATCCTGTGGCGAAGCCCAGCCAATTTAAGAATCTAGAAGAACACGATACCACGAATCCGCTGTGGCCATTCAAACCCAACAAATACTGGAGTGTGTTGCGCTATGTTGGATAAAGAAATATATATTTGCGGCATGGTTATCCTCAAATAAATTTGAAAATAGTGTGTTGGCCAAAAGGAATAAAGAAACTGTGAAGGCACGGTATCTACCCTCTCACAAATCACATCTCTTGTAGAGAACCAATCAAATATGGATGGTTTTGCGCCGATGTTAGGATAAAGAAACGTGTATCCGCGGCACAGCTAGTGATTCTTGAACAAATAAGAGAAAAGGAGGTCGGCACTTGAATCACATTTAATGATCTCTAATGAAATTGTCCAGTCATTCCTACAATCCATACCAGCACTTCTCTTTCCCACTTGAACTTTAACCTTTCATTGTCCATTATAGGCCTACAAAAGTAACAATTCCAGGGACATAGTTCCAACCTGTTTAACGACCTGAAAATCACCAGCACGAAAACACGGTTCCAAATCCAAATCCAACGCCAAAACACCTCAAGACAAACAATGTGTTGGGCTACAACCTACTGTTGCGCCATATGCCTAATGAAGGGCCAAATTCCGACAGTCGTCTGGCCACCCAACCTACCTGACCCATTCATCCTCTCCTGTTCTAAAGGATGTTCCGAATCAGAAACCTGGGGCCACATTAGCTCAATACCTTATGCTGACTATGTCCTTTGCCCTACTTGCATACCAGCTCTCACCACCCTACCAAATATCGACGCGCAAGGGATTCTTGAAACTCAGATACACTCCGATGCTGAGGGCTTCACGGGGCCCTTGGAACAACCTGCCAAGGAACCCCAAAGAGCTGAGGATCAAGGAGATGATTATTTTTGGATGCAAAGACTGATCGATGCTGCGGCCTGGAGACGCGATGACTATGAGTTGGCTCGTCAGAGCATGTTCCTCATCGAACAGAAAAGACAAGAGCTTGAGCTAGAGGAACAGCAACGGCGAGAGGAATAGCAACGGAAAGAGGAACAGCAACGGCAATATCAACGGCAATATCAACAGCAATATCAACAGCAATATCAACAGCAATATCAACAGCAACAGCAACAAATAGCCTATGGTCCAACTGAGCATATGCATTGAGACACGGAACTCCAACTCGCTGCTCAAAGTGCTACTCAAACCCAGATGGAATATAGTTTCAGAGCACGTGGTGGAAGAAATAGACGTACCTACGATGATGATGATGATGACGATGAGATGACGAGGAAGATGCCCTCCCAATAGTGCGGAAACTACGGTTTGGATAGAGCTTTGATCGCTCCTCTTTACCTGGGACTTGTGTGAGCGGAATGTGTTGTAAGCAACTATTAGTAGCCAGAGAGCAGAGTTGTGATATAGAGCGAGGCGTAGAATGCCTGGGAAGAACGTTGAGCGTTTGGGCATAGGGAGTCTATATGTTGAATTCAATGATATCTTTTTAGAAAATGAACAAAATCTCACACCCTTGCTGTCGTTCGCGAATAGTATGTGCAACGCCCCTTAATCTTTAAGCGAAACATCATAGTAAACAGTGAGCGAAATCTATACATCTGCTAAGGAAAACGTCTACCCTTATCTTCACAATAATATCAAGAATCACTTAATAAATCTCTACAAAACCCTAGATTTCATAAGTCTACTATACCAATCACCAATATACTCTTACACTCACAAACGATAACAACAGAACCTATCCAATAAAACCTATTGACTCACTAGCCAACCTATGAATAAGTCCGCACATAAACCAGCCTATAGGGTGCCAAAACCTGTGTCCAAACAAGATCAATCACATACACAAAGAAAGCCAACCATCTACTCAGGCCTTTTTAGAGTCTATAAAAACATCCTTACTTCCTCATCCTAAGTTGTGCAGTTACAACCGCACCACAGCTAAGAAGTAACCATCACCACACACGCTCCAACTGTATTTTGCTGCCTTAATCAAACCGCACAGGCATCCCAAACATTTCACCATCCGCACACAGTATCGAAACAGAAAACCTCCTCATCTCTCCCTCCACCTACATTCCCATCTCCAATATCCAAAGAAGCATCACCCAGAACCCCACCACAAACCCAGACCCATTTCAAACCCCAAAATGTGCTACCTACTAAACTACCGCTGTCGCGCCTGCCCAGATTGGATACGAACCGCCGACAATCCCTCCGCCAACCTCCCAACACACGAAACCTGCCACGAAGAAGACTGTACTTCCTGGTGCCAATGGATAGATTACAACCATCTCTGCGATCCTTGCATCGGAAAACGGAGTTCGCAGATATTGATAACATCGACCCAGCAGCAAGCGCCTCAAGAATCAGCAATGACTCAGCCCCGATGGCTCCCAATGGCCAGGGAACTGCTAAATCCAAGGACTATAACGATGATTCAGTGCGCCAGAAGGTGCCTTTGACACAACAACAACTTACCGCGCAATACAAGGCTCAGGGTCGGAATATCCGAAATGAGAGTGTACGTCTTGGGGGTAAACGGTTTCGCGATGAGGGGTTGACTTCCGAAAAGCAGTCCGGGGAGTTTGAAGGTCAGAATCTGAAGGGGCGTGATATTGAGGGGTGCGCGGAAGGGAAACGTGTTTGTGGGAAGTAGATGATGGGGAGTGTTTTTGGTAGGGTAGGGAATGTAGTTACACTGTACGGAGTACTGTCGGTGTGTGCTATGGTAACCCTCAAAACGACTATTTGATCAATACCATGGGTAATTCGTCAATTAGACCGCATGATAGAATTCTCCTACTAATTGGTTAATTTTTGACTACCGAAATATTCGTTACTTTAATTAATATAAAGAGTCGATTTTTAATTAAAACACACCCCTCGCCTCGAAAGTAAGTAAAGCCACCCTGTAATGAAAGTACAAAACAATAACTCCTCGCGAGTCCTCTATGCCTAAACAAAAAGAAAAGCTATTACTACTAAATACGATTATTTTACCTTTGGTTTACATCCGGCACCATGTTACGAATCACGTGCTCACGTGATACTTGTCATAATAAGAGGCGCAACCCTCGGCAGGCACATCCAGGTTTCTTATAGCAAATAGGGATCGTTTGGGGTAGCTAAGCGATCCAGGGATTTCTCTTGTATTTAATCACGTGACCGAGCGACCATTGTTGGTGTCGGTCGAACCGACTGTCGCTCTGAGCGACAACCAGAACACATAAAGCTCCTAGGCCCATATGTGCTCGGCTTGTCATGACGCCGTCTGGTCTTCACTTGTCACGTGTGCACGTGACTCGTGACACTAAGCGATCCAGGGATTTCTCTTGTATTTAATCACGTGACCGAGCGACCATTGTTGGTGTCGGTCGAACCGACTGTCGCTCTGAGCGACAGGCGATCGAGTCGCTCTGCGATGATCGACAGAGAACGAAGGTTCTATATAAGACTGGCACGTCTGCCATTAGATAGGAGCTTCGTGCTCAACTTAGTTATCAATCTTATCATATTAGTTTGACATCTTTGATACAAGTAACGAGTTCACTTCCAAGTGAACAACCCGATAGCCTTCTTCTTATCATAGCATACCAACCAGCGAACACCAAGCCAAGTTTAGTTAGCCAGTTTGAGTATTCGTTACACACCAACTCTCGCACTACCACGTCCTTTTTTGTTTTTGGGGTCTTTTAAGCGGGGTTTTAAGCCGCTTTTTTTATCTCTTTTAGGGCCGGTAGCGTTAAAATTATATAAGAGTAGATAAACTAGGGTACTAGGAAAGTAGGGAGGGCTAGAGAGTATAGTTCTTTATATAAATTAGTTTTTATTATAGTATTAATAGCTTGTATTCTGTGACGGAGCTGGATTTCATTTGACAGGATTTCATTCGCTTGGCCAAGCACGTGACGAGACTTGGCATTGGAACAACTTAAATAACTTCGCTCCTTTCAGATTCTCTTCTCTCTTTAGTTTGATTTCTTCGTACCTACGGTTTTAGTTCTAGCAATTGATTCAAAAGCTGTATACACTTTATCCTTTGTTGGCATCCGTGACATATTCCATTCCTTATTCCTTATTCTATACCTACTACCCTACTCGTTTTATACCCTTCTAAGATATAAAAAAGGCGTATTATAGAATAGATTATTATATTTATAACTACTATAATAGTAACCTTTAATTCTATAGTATTACGGTTATAATAGTCTAATTAATTAAAGGGTAGATTTAAGGGTTACTATAGTATAAATAGTTATCTAGGGTAGTAATTAGTAGGTAGAAAAGATAATTAAAAGATATAATAATAAGGTTTTAATAGTAACATAGAACTCAACCATAAAACAACCTTCACTGCTCCTAGTACACATCCCATCCCCTAACGAGACCTTTCCGTGTTTATCGAATCCCTAATTCAAACACATCTCTTCCTATATAAAGAATTAAAGGATTTCACTACTCGTATTAAAGTTATAATTCTAACATAGTACCATATATCAGTAAGACATCGTCACATTCCTAATTTAAAAAAGTTTCTCTCACCCTTTGTACTTGTAAAAGTTATACTTATATAGTACTACTAACCAAAACATTATCATAGGGTTTACTAGAAACTAAAACCACTTTATACTAGTATACCTCTAATTAGACTAGATATATTCCTTATAAGACACGTACTACAGAGGAGGTATTATATATAACAAGTACTTCCTACTTCCTACCAACATTAACATCCCATCTATTACCTACGAAATATCCTACTCTCCTCTAACTCTCATATATAAACCCAAATATAAGAAAACCGTAAACGAGTACTTAATTTAATCCTCCTTCCTTTACTATAACACCAATTAACTAACTAACCAACTATTCATCACTTTACCTACTTATATCCACTATCTTATATCCACCAAACTACACTAAACCAAATCAACCCAAATCAAAAACGTAAATTAAACCAACCTACCAAAACCAAAGTGTAACGAATACTCAAACTGGCTAACTAAACTTGGCTGGGTGTTCGCTGGTTGGTATGCTATGATAAGAAGAAGACTATCGGGTTGTTCACTTGGAAGTGAACTCGTTACTTGTATCAAAGATGTCAAACTAATATGATAAGATTGATAACTAAGTTGAGCACGAAGCTCCTATCTAATGGCAGACGTGCCAGTCTTATATAGAACCTTCGTGTTCCGCCGTCGCCTACATCGCCTGTCGATGCTGTCGACATATCGCCAGCATCGCCTGTCGATACTGGCGATGCAAATGGTCACGTGATTACAATGTAATGAAATCCCTGGATCGCTTAGCTAGTCTAAGCATCCCTATTTGCTATAAGAGATATGATAGTGCTCGACCTGTCAGGACGCCGCCTGGTCTTCACTTGTCACATGCTTACGTGATTCGTGACACAAAGCATTAAACTTTTTTTTTTTACCTTACTCTATATATCGCTCGCGTAGTATAGCTACCTGTATAGTCCTAGCCTCTTCAACTTAACTCAACTCAACTCAACTCAACTCAACTTATTTCCCACACTATAATTACCATACCTCATTTACACCATTGTATCCCATCCTATCCCATCCTATCCTATCCCATCCTATCCCATCCTATCCTATCCCACCTACTCCGCTATTCGCAAATCCCTCCCCCTCCCCCTCCCCCGGCTTCAACTTTTCATCTTGAACTTTGAACTTCTTACTCTACCCTACCTTTACTTACGTCTGGGTTGAAATGCTATTCCGTCTAAGAATATTTAATCATTCATTTACATCTACTCAATCACTCACTAAATCACTCACTAAATCACTAACTCACTCACACCACATACACCCCAAAACCCATCCATCCCCCTTAGTCCTTCCTCCTCATACCTTCTACCTCATACCTCATATCTCACACCCAACCTCATCAATCACTTCAATCACTTCAATCACTTCAATTACTTAATCAATCACTTCAACCACTTCAGTCACTTAATCAATCACTTCAATCACTCAATCAATCACTTCAATCACTCAATCAATCACTTCAATCACTCAATCAATCACTTCAATCAATCAATCAATCCATTCTATCAATTCCCATCCCATCCCATCACCACCCAAACCCAACCCCACTCCCCTCCAAATAAACCCAAACAAGAAAAAAAAAACCAAAAAACCCACAAGGCAAGCCAAGGGGGACGAGACGAAAACTACAGTAGTACTCATAGTGTATCATAAACAAAAAAAAAATCCAATAAACCAAACAAAACAAGTGGATGATAGCTCTTACGCTTCCTCGCATTTCTCTCCTCCATCAGAAAAGAAAAACCATCCTCTCCTCCCTCCCCCCCCCGCTTTCCCTCCCTATTTCCCTATTTCCCTTCCCTTTCCATTCCAACCCTCCATCCCCCTCATATCCCATATCATATCCTCTTCCCCACCATGATCCATTTCCCAAAGGGGATAATAAGTTGAAAAAACTCCAAGAAAGACAGAAAGTCCCTCAAATACCGGATACCGAATACCGACCGAATACCGAAATTCTCGCCCCCCACGAGAAGCAAGGGTAAAAAAAGCCCCTCCCAATAATCCAAAGAGCCTCCCAATTTTTAGTTTCATCCTCCCCCCCACAAATCCCCGTTGCTGATTCCCCAAGTGATTCTCCAATGTGACCCAACCAGGACAATCAGGAAATCCAATCCAAGTCCCACCAACTCAATTAAGTCCCTAGTAATTCTCCCTCCCAAATTTGAAAGGGTTGGGGTCAGTCCATTTTCATTCCTTTCCCAGCCAACCCTCCATATGTCAGCTTATCTCACCCTCCTCAACGAGAGTAGTAATCCCCCTCTCCCCGCCATCCCTGAACCCTACACTTTGTTCATGAACAGGCATACTATCAACCGTACTCCTACCCCCAAGAACCATTGGTTTACTCGCTCCCCCAGAGCCCTTGACATCCACCAGTGCCTCTTGCGGATTAGGATTAAGATTGGGTGTATTCGACAGGGAGCCGTTGGTAAATTCTTTATGAAGGGGTGATGATGTTTTGGGTGATTTGTCACCACTGTTGCGATTGGAATTCCGTGGGGAGACGCGGCCAGTCTGTAATATGAGGTAGTGATTAGTCAATATCCATTATGTATAGATGTGATGTGATGCAATGTTTATGAACGGAGGCAGTAGATAAGGCATAGCAAGTAAAGCAAAGAAAAATTCAGAATGGACGCAGAAACATATATAGAAGGATCTGCTAACGTTATAGCTGAGCAATCAATAAACAAAACAAGGCAGGCAGGCAGGCAGGCAGGCAGGCAGCAATCGAGTAAGCGAATAAGCGAGGGTTATTGGCTCGTTTCAAAAGACGTGCTGGTCGTCAATGGTGAGTACAAAACTCATTACATGTTTGCAAAAGCAACGAGGCAGGTAGCGTAAAGGACAATTTCCCAATGGCAAGATATATCAGCAAACAGCAAAATGAACTTCTGGTGCCATAACAAGCGCACAGTATCCTGCGCAATAAGATAGCAGCATGCTGAGTATGGTGTGACGCATTGGCGAAGTAACCGAGTAAAACAAGTTAAACAAAAACAAGACGAGGATTGTAAACATTCATCGCGATGCCGAAAAGGGGTATACACCAAATTGGCATGATTCAACTTCGAGATGT